CAACCTGACACTGCAGGGCCCAGAAAAAAAAAAAAAAAAAAAAAAAAAAATTATTTAAAGAGATAGCAACAAAGACATCAAATCAGAGACATGTATTATACATAATATGCATTAAGTGAACAGGAACAAGACAGAACGGTAAAGAGAAACCAGTTGTGATATGTTACCAGTATTATACCTGAAATACTTTCTGAAAATATTATATAACTCTTGCAAGAGAGTTTCTGGTCTAAAATCTTAACTAAAGTTCTAGGAGTGTAGAGGTAAAACCTTTTTTCTATCTCAACTAGGAGGCCTGACATCTAGTTCCCTTAGAATTTCAGTGGGTCCTGGAGACTGGAGTTTCTTTGTAATAATCATGGTCAGAAGTAGTAATTTCTGGAAGTGTTACTGAAATTGCTTTAGCTAACATATTTTCTGAAACATGACCTTCCACTATAGGTCATTCAGTGTTCTCTAAGATATCCTAGTTTTCGTTATGTCTTCGCTGACAGCTCCCAGATGAGCACATACCAATGTATTGGGTTTTTTACCCCTCGAAGATACAACAAAGGGGTTATTCTCCTTTTACAAACTTCTACTTGCTTGAACACCAGAAAACAATCAAGCATAACTTTGGGATATTCTGTTTTTCTTTAATACTGTCTTATAATCTATCTTTTCTCGTCATTCCCTGCTTCATATTCTCTCCTCATTTTGCCTCCCCTACATTTCTACAATTCTCTTATTTCTTTGTTATTCAGTGAAACAGAACATGCTTATGTTTCCTCATGGAAGACTTTTTTTCCCTAGACGGCAGTAATCTACTGCTACCTTATACGAACTTCACTATTTTTCCACTGTGTTAACTCCGAGTGCATTAAGCAGAGTTTTTGTATCATGGGACAAAAATGGCTGGAGTTTCTGAAAGTGAACCTATCAATCAAGTGTATTTGTATTTATAATACACAAATGTATGTGTGTGTGTGTTATTAATGTAATAATGCCATAGTCATTTAGGTACATGAAAGCTTTCCCAAGGAATTTCACAATTTTACTCAATAAAGAAAAAATCATTGGACAATGAATCTTCAAATGGATAAAAATTGAAACTTTAAAAAGTAATCTTGGTGTCTCTTTACATGGTTTTGTGATCTCTGTGTTTTCCCTTTTAGTTTTCACCTTTTAAATCCTTATGACTTTTCTAGCAGATTAGTGAGTAGTAATGTTGTACAGAACGTCGAACATTTCCCTGCTTTAGATGCAAGATAATTCTTTTTAAACATGTTTTGGTTTACTAAAACATTAAAGATTATAATGAACTCTTTTTCTTAATATCATCTTGTATACTGTATTTGAAACACACAGAATAATGTTACTGGTTGAGGAGCTATTATAAAAGTTCACATAAAAAGAAATTAGTATCTTTTTGCTAATCTAAAAACAAATTTGATAGTGACAAAATAGAGAAGGGGACAGATTTGTGTTCTCACAAGCCACATTAAAATAAAACAAAACAAAACAAACCCGTACCTGAGAACGACAGGCAAATAATACGTGTTGGAGGACTGCGTGAATTCTGAAATGCACCTGCAGGCGGGAGGTCATGGACCATCATGGGATGCCAGTGTTCTCATAAGAAGAACTGTTGTTTGACCCAGAGACATTAGCTTCTCGCTGTAGCGCTTTCTGTCGCCGTTAGAGATTCGGATTCCTGAGGAGTCCTCAAACCGACATGCTACATAACACTAGCATGAGAGTTTCACTTGATCTGCTTGAGAGCTACATATGGCTACAATTACAGTCCACCCACGGATATAAAACTTACTACAGTGCCTGTAGAGACTAGTTTTATAGCTACTAACTTAAATATAAAGAAAAGAGTGAAGAAACACATCAGTTTCTTCATGCTTTACTCCAGCTTTGTAAGGCTGATTCACAAACAAGAGCAAGGCAATTCATTGAACAAATGTCATTTCCTGTTTCCTTGTACATCTCTCTCTAAACAGATTATAGCCTTCCAGCAGGTTATAGTTATGTTGTTGAATGAAGCTCTCTGCAATACTTCAGCTGAACATAGGTTATTAAATAGTCAAGATTTGGCTTAGGTGCAGATCACTCATATGTTAATTGGATGAATGTAATACTAAAACAGGTCTTTAGGGCCAATACAATTTCATCATTGACTTTCTCTGTATATTTCCTCAAGATTTCTGTTTCGATACATGCAGTCCCCAGAGTACATCTTGAAAAAGAACGCAAAGCAAATCAGTTTATTAAATTAGATGATGTCCATGACTAGTATTGATCCTACTAGTATCCAAATTAGACATTTGCCTTTCTATGAAAATATTGTTGCATGCTCTGTTCAACTCAAATATGTTCATATTAGATTTTTTTCTTGTGTATTAGCAGCAGCAAGAGAAGTTTAATGAAGAAGAACAACCCTATTCTTTCTGAAGATGTAAGGCTTCCTTTAATTTCTTTATTTGTATTGTGGTAGCATGTAGAGGCTTATCACATCTGAATCCTGTGATGAGGAAGTTGTCACCCTAATTTGTGTGTGTGTGTTTATATCCCTATTTTCCAGATGAAGAACTGAAATATAGATGAGAAATATGACTATTTCAAGGTCGAAAAGCCAAGGATAAAAATCAATTAAGTTCCCATTCCAGTGTTTTGCATATTATAGCCTAAATAACATCCTCCTTCTCTTTCTCAGTTTGTTAATTTTTCAGTTTCATTTGATTTTTCAGCAGAGGCAGAGTTATATTTAAACAGTGGAGAATTTGGAAACTCATTCCTCTACACAACATTCTTAGAATGCACATATTTTCCTATGAGATGCGTAGAAGCCCCAGAGCTGCTAGGCTAAAGCACATGTAACAATTTTTCTAACTTGTCACCTACTGAGAATGAGTTCCTGTCTCTCATTTTCTCATAGCCTACTTTTAAAGGGCTAGCAGGCCTGTACAATTTGTGATACACTGGGTAGCCTGTAATGCAATCTGTATTTCAGTTGGACAGTTTGGTATATCAATAGTTGAAATAGTTACTGGCATCAACTAATATAGTAATGATTGCAGCTCTTGTATTTTCCATTATACAAAAAGATATCACCCTTTCTCAGTTTATTTCAGAATTTTCCAGGCCCCAAAAGCTTGCATGAATACATATAGGTAATGATGTGCTCTATTCCTTATGGGGAAGAGTCTGGGGACTTTTTTGTTTGTTTGTTTAGGTTTTTTTTAATCTTTGAACTAATGAAGAGGACATTATTAAATCAAAATTTTTCATTCTGTGCCCTAGACTAATATTTCACTGACATCCACTTGGAATTAATGACATATAACAGCTAAGAAATAAAAGCTGTGAAGAAACTAATATTTGACTAGTTTTGCTTCTCCTATTTTAAAAACTAATCTCAAAAGAACACAAAACACGTTATAGTGCCATGTGCGATACACCAAAGCTAACAAACGTTCCAAACAGGGCTTACATTTGCTGTGCATTTCATGAAATAGTGGGACATCTGTTCACATTTTCTTAGAAGAGTTTTTTAATATCTCTTGTTATAGGTGTTGTAATATATATCAGTTACCAATGTGCCAGAGAGGCTATTACTGAGTTGCTGTATGGCATATATAGCTCCGAAAGGTAGAGTGCTGCTTTCTGGCCTTTGTTCTAATCCCATTGAAGAATCTCAGGCTTTTTTTGCAATTTTTGTTTGGTTCTGCTGCTTCAAGGTGTGAATATGTTTCAGTCGCACATCATACTTACTAATTCCCTTCCCAACACACACGCAGAGACTACTTGGGAACTCAGTCTCATGGCCATTTGAAATATTTGCTTAAGCTTTACTTGTTTGATTAGGCTTTTAGTTGACTATTTTAACACATTTGATGAAGCGCTTGATGACTCATAAAAAGACTTTTAGGATAGCTTGTATTCATGTGCAAAGATCTCCTGTAACAGTTAAGGGAAGAGTTCCTTGAAATGGACAGTTAATCCTCCAGGACTTCCAAGGAATGCATATCTTTCGTCCAGTTGCTCCTACACACGTTGAGTTGGTTGCTGACTCCTACCTGGGAGTGGTCCTGTGGGAACGCTGGGGAAGTGCAGACAATCCTGTGGGATTTGATATGTCAGTGACTATGGAGCTGAAGGCTTTTCCAAATACACACATTCACATAGGCAAACAACTACTTCTTGGTGTTCTGATGATTCCTGGAACTTCATGATGTTTCTCAAATCTGTAGGTAGTGGGTTATTCCTATTTCAGGCAGTAATTACTCCTAATTGGTTTTGTTATGAAAAATGGGCTGTTACGCAAGATATACTACAGAGTATATGTAGCCAATTGTCTAGCTTGACCTACCACCAAATGACCTTAAACTTTTAAAGCAGGTGATGGAGATACAGTAAAGGTTGAATGGCTGTATGCTTTTCCCTGTATTGCCAATGGATTACTCCTGAACATCAGTTCCCTTCAGTTTTCACTCAGAAAGTTCTATCAAGGATCCTCTATGTTTATCGTTTCTAAATTTTTATAGAATTTACTGAAAAATGTAATCTTAAAATTAACATTTCAATATTTAACAAAGGATAATATTCTGAAAACTCTCAGTGTAACATGAGGGGTATCCTAATCTGTTCAAAAAACAGTAATGGAAAACTAACATTTTCAAAGTTGTTCTGTTCTGTAAGTAAATTAGAAAATTATGTCCTTCAGAACTGACGGATGCAAAATAGTTCTGAAAGTATTTGCAATTGTTTTGACAAATTTTGATGTTATGAGCTGTTTTTGTCATTGAAAGAATGAAAATTTCTGAGAAAACAATAAAGTATTATTAAAATGACAGTCATCCCTTAACAGCTGTACTTCCTGAGTTACACTTATTTATCAATATTAATTAGTTTTTTCTAAGTGTGCATCTATGTGTGTATTGGGAAATACATGATTTGTCAGAAAAAGGTAATGCATTTGCCCTTAAGAGCTTTGGACAGCTGTTTTATTGTTATTTTTCCTTTTGTTTCTTTTCCTTCCAGCTGATGAAGCAATGAGTGAATTATATAACTCATCCCAGACGCTAATAAACCTTTTATGCTACACTGACGTATATTCTGCTTAAGCAACATTCTGAATAAAAGTGTTATTTTAGAAGTGGTTTGGGGTTTCATTAGAACTATTTTTCATTTCCCTCAGGCTGTCTTCATTTCTCTAAGAAATACTTACAGATTGAGTAGGAAGAGAAAAATAATGCATTTAAAAGAAGAAAATCTCTGAAAATTGCCAACATTATTTTTCTAGTCCAATCCCTCTCCTCAAAAAAACAAAACTTGCCATAGCGTCTTACATGGTATTTATGGATAGTTAGACTAAAAGTAAATGCTAGTTCCTATAAAAAGTAGACTTAATAGTCCAGGATTTTTATTTGTAAAACTGTTAGTGGACTTTAATGGGCTACTGCTTCTGGAACAAGTCCACTCAGTTTGCATCAATCTGCAGTAACTGTGGAAAAATCATTTTACTTTAAAGAAAAAAAGTGTTGTTTTTTTTTTTTTTAATTTCTGCTCTGGACTATGAAACAATATAGTTCTGGAGATGATTTGGTGCATAGAATAAGAGCAGAATTCAAGTATGACTTCAATGCAATACATGAATCTGATCACCCCGTAAATTGTTGTAGACAGGACTACGCTTACTGAAGTATTTAGAACATTGTGAGCAATTAGCATGCTATTTCATTTTGAGCATTTTTAATTGGCAGCTTTATCGTAGATGTTATTTCAGAAGAGAGGGATTTGAAAATGGAAGAAGTCTGACAGGAGACCACAATGGGACGTATACAGTGGAAAGCCTTTGAAACCAATCATGAAATTTCCATTTAACAGGAAGCACACATTTAACAGGGGAGCATCTTTTCTTTAAGAAGGCTAGGTCCACGGAAGTAGCAAAGAAAAATGTCTGTGGACTGAGAAAGTAGGGTTTTGTCAATGTTTTTAAATACAAATTTGCAGAATCAGATGTATTGAAGCCATGAACTTATAGGCTGTCTTGGTTTCACAGCAACATGATTGCTAAATACAGTCCTAATATGTGCAGCAATGAAAATAGTTGTAGCCTACTTTTAAAAGCATTGATGCAAGCTCAACAAGAATAATCAGTGTACACATGGGTAATGGAATTAAAAATGAAAGGTAAACTGCAGATGCCAATATACCTAATTGGCATGAAAAAGACTGGCCAGGCACAGTCTCCAAGTTATTCATGGCTAAAAAAAAAAAAAAAAATGGATCGGCCAAAGATGAGACAAATGTTACTACCTAATTTACATGCTGGAGATCGCCTCTTCAGAAGTGCCATTTTCTCAAATATACTCAACCATACTCAAAATGAGTTTTATTATTTTCAAGTTCAGATGCCAAACCAAATTAGAATCTTTACAACACAATAGCTCAGTGCAGGCTGAAAGGATGTTCAGCTGACTTTGGGATGACACTTGATAGCTACTCAGCTATCTCCATGTAGAAGAAAGAGCTAAAGAAATCACAAGCTGTGTTTTTTTCATTAGTTTAAGTTGTTAAAATCAAACTCTATAAAGCAGGATTTGTTTCTATATAGCAGACTTTGAGAACAAGCTGAGAATAATGACAGAATAATGGCTGCTGAAGTGCTACTCCACTGCACATTATAAAATGGCCATGAAATATTTCCAAGTATCCCTTAATAAGAATCAGGTCCATATAAAAAGACCAAAAGCTACAGAAAGACAATAAAAGATATCAAGGACTTACATTATACTTTTAAATGTGTGTATAGGCAATGTTAGATTTGTTAATCTATGCCTAATCTATTTCTAATTTATTTTTTTTTTCTTTAATAACTTGGTCTTCTCCTTGTTAACTCCATTACAAAGGGCTACAGGTAAATTGGCAATTCAAGTACTGCTTCTAAGCCTCTGCATCTGGCCATGTACTTTGGCAGCATCCTAATCCTGCATTGGGGTTGTGTCTATACATGCATCAGCTTTACCCACCTGCTTTTTACGTATTGGTTGTGAAAGAAGGAAGTCTAAACATTTGCACTGGAAGGAAACCTTAGTGTACTCTATCCAGATCTCTGATGGCTGGAGGAGCAAGGTCCTGAGACCCATCAAGAGGTATGTACACTTTGTCACTGCTTGTTCTCGGAGCTGCGGTGGTGAGATGGGCAAACAGCACTCACTCTCTGAAGGTGGTATCCTAGGCAGAAACAGCCATGCTATAAGGATTAGGAAATACACGTGTGAACAAATTCCCCAAATGCATAGGTGTCTTTAAGCTCTGGACCATCAACACTGGTGAGTGATTGCTTGGTTTCCCAAGGTTTAGTTGTCTTTATTGAAACAATTGAAATGAGTCAGAAGGGAAGGTGGGGGAGAAGGACACCCAGCTCCTACCAATTTAACTGGAGAGCCTGGCTCTTGTCTGCTTCTACCCTTATCCATACCCCCATGTGAGGGAGCTGTCTGTCAAGCTCTTTGAGTATATCAGTTCGTTGTGAATCAGTTGAATTCTACCGCAGCACAATGAAGTACAGTGCAGAGCTGTCAGCCTCTAAATGGCTTCAGCACTGCTTTGTGATTGGAATACTAAAATATGTCTCTTACCTTTTGGAGAATGTCTTCATGTTTGACAAGTAGCTTATGATAAGATTGCACAGGAAAGGTAAATATGTTCTGGGATATTTACATTTAAAATACTTCTAAATATTTATTCTACCGCCAGTTTTTGTAACTCTTAAAGTGTTAAATTCTCCTAATTCATCTCTATAAATATTTCATCAAATTTTTAAACATTGCAGAGATTGTTTAAAGTGTTTGGTTTACAGCTGTAGTAGCAGCAACAGAAGTACTTGCTTACGTTGGATTTTTATTAAATCTTAGATTGCTGCATTTCCCCACAATGAAATAACGTTTGTGAAAACTTTCTTAAAAAATAAATCAATCATTTGATCAATCCTGACTTTTTTTTTTCTCAATGCACTCTCCATTGGCTATACACTTCATTCATAGTCAAGTGCTTCATTCAAGGACATGATAGTAAGCTATTCAACAATTCTTATTCTGTTATTTGTTCATTAAGTGTTAATTTGGGAGATGCGATGTGAAGGAGTATAGCTTTCAACCTTTCCTCTGAGCTGCTTTCCAAACCGTTTCCTCTGAGCTACTTTATCATGAATTTTTGTTACTCGTTTCAATATATTGAATGGAAAGTTATTTTCATGTTGAATACCTTAGGGGGAGCTTTTTTGAAGCATAAGAGTTCAGATCTCTCCCCTTAATGCGCACGCTATTTACTGTCCTGAGTGCTCGCTGGAGCACCTCTTCTGGAGCGATCTCGTAAGGCCTCTTTCCCCCGTGTAATGAACAACCCTCTCATCGGAGAAGTGATAGGCATACCTTTCCCTGTTGTTTCCCTAGTCGGAAGAAATGTGAGGACCTCTTGCTCTCAAGAGAAAACTGCCTTGTGTCCCAGGCTCCTGCCAGGTCACGTAGACAGGATCAAGCCCTTCTTCTGAATGTGAAGTAATGTCCTGGCCTTGGGGGTCCCCCTCTAGCCCCAGCTTCATCCCAGCCCAGCTGGGGGCTGTCAGTCGCTGCCCCGTGATGCTGCAGTGGTGCCTGCTCCAGCCCCACCACCGCCCGGCCCCTGCCCGCACACGGCATCCCTGGCCCCGGCCCCGGCACCCGTCTGCAGCGCTGCCCCAGGGCTCAGGCTGCCCCAGGTGCCCCCGGGGTCCTGTGCCCTCGGGGTGGAGGGACACGCCTGGGCAGCCAGCACCGGCACAGCCCTACCAAGAGCCTCCTGGCCCCAGTCCCAGGAGCCCTGGCCCCCGCGGTGCCCTGACCACTACTACTTTTCCCTGGTGAGTTCTGCCTTCCTATATTTTGAATGTAATTACACTTGTTTGTGTGATTGCTTTGTCTTATACAACCAGAAAGCATCAGAGCAATCAGTGAAACAGGCATTACGGCAGCATCATAAATCACAGTGTGCTGCTACCTCCCGGCGCTATTCACCTTACCCTGTCTGTCATGCACCTTTATAATTTTTACCTACACGCCTTGTTATTGGAGGTTCACTCCATTTCATTTAACAAAGTGTAAAGGTGTACTTCTCTGTATTTCTGCATGCCAAGTAGGAGTTTTCTCATGTTTGTGTCTTCTGTGTCAGTTCAGGGAGTGTGTTTTCATGGCCAGAGAAGAGCACTGTGCTGATGGTTGCTTTGTGTTCCTTCACTGAATGGCCAACAAAGAAGAGAAAAAAAAAAAAAAGAAAAAGAAGAAAAAAAAAGTAATGCACATATTTATGGTCTAGGGATTCATCCCAAAGGGTCACAAAAGTTCCCTACAAATTATCGGCCTTGTGCTGCTGGGCTTTCCCATAGACCCTTAAGTTTAATGGCTGCTCTGCACAAAGCTGTGAAGAAGCTTGTTATTTATCTATACATTTACTCAACAGTGTGCTGTGACTCTCTGAACAACCATAAATAGATTGGGATTGTATTTCTCGCTAAGTGAAAAAATCTGTATCTATTTCAAAAAATATATAAATAAGTTATTGTGTACAGCGTCCACAGGGAAAAAATGGCTGCTGCTCACAATCAAGATGTTTAATATGGAGCTGAATTAGAAAGAATATTCTAGCCCAGAAATCCAAAGTACACGGTGTCTTCAAGGCTTTAATTAAAAGCAACTGAAGGAACCGATAAAGACACAAAGCCCCACTGGAACAGAGTTTAATACTAACTAAACACGAGCAGTCTATTTTCCTTTCTACTTTAACAGGCTTTTATATCTGAACGACCAGATCAAAAGCCAACTGACTGCATGCCAGTTCAACAGCTTTAGAGGCCTCTGCCATCTGTGCATGAGAGGCTGTCAGTATTCACAGTAGATGGGCCGGGAGGGCAATACGTACCTTAATGGCAGCTGAGTGGAATGACTTGTGGCTTCACCCGACTAGAGCAAAGTGGAATTATGACTCTGAACAACAGACCATAAAGTATTTTATTACGTGGTCATGAGTGTCACTCTCTATGAGGAACAGAGTGGTAATTCAGTGCTCTAAATTATCACTTTGTGAAATCACATGGACCAATGAGCTCTGAACTAACTTTAATTGAAACAATCTCAAAGTATGTGGCAGTTTTACTGCAGACCTGTTTGTGTATATACAAACTTGCGAAATATAAATGTTTAAACACTAACCACACTGTATAGCAATGAAACCTGTGCCTTGCAGATGCTCGTGGTACCAGAGTTCTACCTAATTCCTGGAAAAAAGACAAAAAAGAGGAAATTCCAGGGCTAAGTACTACTCAAGGGAATGAGAAATGAAGGAAATCTAAGGAGTAAGAAATAATATTCAACCACTTAAACTCCTAGAATTTCATCTACAAAAGTGTAAGTTGCCTTAAGTAAATCCATACATATATAAGGATAAGATATACATCTCAGGATATCTAGTATATCCATTAGATATACGAAAATCTGTCTTGGCAGCTAATATATTTGGGTTCTGAGGATAAGATAAAAAAAATCAAACCCAAGATCTCCTTGCATGTATGAGAATGATCTTCTTTTCTTTCCCTCTATAAAAAGTAAAGCATCTTCAACTTTTCTTCTGGTAAGAACTGCAACTGATCTTAGGGGATTTTTTTTTTTAACAATTACTCTACTTTTCTTGAAAACTTGCAGCAAGATTTTTCAGTGATGTATTGACTTTATAAGCCATTTTCACTGTTTTTGTGGATGGCTCACTGCTAGCTTGCTCTCTAGCTCATTGACCAAACATGGGGTACATTATCAGAGGGTAATGTTTTGCAGACAAATGTGGATAATGAAATAATGATTTCATCAGGTTTTCAGACTTTTAACAAAGTCAAAAGACTTTAACAAGTTTTTGCAGTTAGACGCAGTGAAAATGTACTGCATCTGCCTGCTCCTGCTGCATTTTAGGTATACAAAATTCATCCCCAAATTGAAAACTGTAGGCGATGTATGCGTGTCCCAGGTGTCTTCGTAATGTCAGCTGAGGAGTTAGACAATAAAGCTTCCCTAACTCCACTTGGGCTCCTTCTCAGGGCCCGCAGCTCACAGCCTGGAGCAACCCACATAGACTGGTTTGTGTTCAACACTGCAAAGACCATCTTTCCTCCTACCATAATAAATAAATAAATGAAGGTCTGTGTTAAGTTTAAAATTGTGGGAAAGGAGGTGGTCGCCAGATCTTCCTTTCCCTGGTTGTAGCTGGAAATATTTGGCCTCAGGTTAGAAATGCAAATGTCTCTTAGTTTTAAGCTTTGCCTGTCCTGAGAGGTCATTATGCCTACTCCAACAGATTTTGCCTCACTGCTGGCATGCAGCAGTGCCGCAATGGGTATAGCAGATCACACTCAAGAGGTTCTGGAGGGAATAGTTGCTTGAGCAGTGTCTTTATCCTAATTTCTGAGAAGGAGAAAGATAAAGAGTTTATACTAACATCTCCTGTTCTATTTGTGCCATTACAGGCTGTATTTTCGTGACATTATAGACCTTCTAGTTTGAGGAAGAAGGAATTCCTCCTCTCTGTCAGAACATTTCCATAAAATCATAAACGCTGTAAGAGCTTTAAATCAGCTGGTAGTGAGATCCAAGAAAGGATTTCACAGCAGTAAATGAGATAATTTACCTTATAACTCATTTTATAAAGATTTCTTGAGCCCTTCAGGTTTGTGATTTTTTTCATTTCACATTCTATGGTGAAGGAATGTACTGGAAAGTAGTAGATTTTTTCTTTATCTCACATAAATATATAAATGCACAAATTTTTAAGAAGAGAAACAGTGACTCTCATAAGTTTTACCAGTGACTCAATCATCTAAGGTTTTAGATGTTTTAAGGGAATACATTTATAAAGGCAGCAAGTTGTCAGTTTCGGGGAGGCAAAAGCTATTATATTATTCTGTTTCTTGAGCTCATGCAGATCTCTATAAAGGATACAAACACTTTTCCAGTGTGCATGGAAACCTACAATGAAAAACTAGGTTGTGAAAGTAGAAAACATATTTGCAATTTCTCTAAAAAGAACATTTTTTGCATTGTAACCTTTATTCCTAGAAATGCATTGCACATGTTTTATCTCCAATACAGTTTACTTCCGCCCTGCTCTGGAGTGAAAAAAACACCACAATTTTGATGGAAAGACCAGAGAGAAGTCTGGAAAGGCTGTCCACAAGAGAGCATTGGCTTAGACGTGAAGTTGGAATGAGGCCTGAAGAACAAATTCAAACCCCAGTGAGTAGCTACTTTAAGTTGGCTGCAGCTTCTAAATAGCCTATCAAATAATATTGGAAAATTAAAGGATTATGAAACTGAATCACAAAGGAGGCTATAATACAAGCAGCAGTGTACATATTATCTCTCTCAGTTTCTTCTCCTATTAAATGCCTTGCTTTGCTTTCCTTTGTTTCTTAGTCTTGCACTTCAAAACCTCAGTATGCCACTAAGTATTCATTGTTCATTCTACTTCATCAGTATGGTCAAGATGATGAAATTGTGAAGCTGAGTTTTACTTTTATAGCACACAACGGAGTTTTTTTTTCTTGCTTGTTGATTCCTAATATCTTTGTATATGGACGTATTTACGTGACTGGTATATGGGTGCAGAACTAGGGATTGTAATCCTCCCTTATCTCTTCTCCCAGGCTCAATACAATCCATGTCTTATGACAATGGTTGTGATTCTTTCTCCTTATCATCTCTTTTGTCTTTCCCTCTGCTTAACCATTGCATTGTATTCAGTTACAGTATAAACATAAAAATCATGAAATGCTTCACATAATAAAATGCTTACACTTATCCTATCTCAGGATATGAACCAGTAAATGGCTATACCAGAGTAACCTGAGAACAAGTCTGATATAGTCTTTTTGAAGTGAAAAGCACTCAGAATCACAGAATAGTTGAAGCTGCAAAGGACATCTAAATATCGTCTAGTCCAACCCTCCTGTTTAAAGCAGGACTAACTAGAGCAGGTTGCTCGGGGCTATGTTGGGTTTTGAATATGTGCAAGGATGGAGACCCCATAGCCTCTCTGAGCAATCTGTTTCAGTGGTTAACTACATCCACAGCGTGAAATGTTCTGTTTGGTTGGTTGGTTGGTTGGTTTGGTTTGGTTTTTGGATTAAATGGAATTTCCTGCATTTTAGTTTGTGTTCATTTCCTTTTGTCCTGTCACGGCATACTAATGAGAAGAGTCTAGCTCCATCTTCTTTACATGTTCCCATCAGATATTTATACACATCTATAACTTTCCCTCAAGCCTTCTCTTATCCAGGCTGAACAGTCCAAGTTCCCCAGCCTTTCCACCGATAACAGATGCTTAATCTTCTTTGGGGCCTTTTGGGGGACCCACTCTAGTGTGTCCTTGTCTCTCATACTGAGGAGCCCAGCACTGGACACAGCACTCCTGATGTGGCCTCACTAGTGCTGAACAGAGGTGATCCTCCTTTGACCTGCTGGCAATGCTCATCCGAATACTGCCCAGAATATTGTCGTGCTGAAATATTGTCACTCGACCTGTTTAAAAATATAGTAATTGTTAAGGTACAATATTTAAAAAAAGATGCACTTCTGTGACATTATGTTTACCCTTCATGCATAAAGTTAGGATAGATGTATAGACATTTGTCCTACCTGAATGACATCTAATTTTCTAGGAAGTTTTCTTCACAGCCTTTTGCAATAATTCAGAAGTGAGGAGTTAAAGACAGGAATAAGAACTCCTGTGTTATTACAGTACAAATGGCATTTCTGAGTTATGGCCTGGATTTGATTTCGTAAGAGTTCTTACCAAGGTTATGGACCGTGCAGAAAAACCCCTCTTTTCTCCTGCAAGAACAGAGTACTATTTCTGATTAGTAATCCATTCTTACTAGGATTTAACCCTCTGTGTGTTTCATGTAGAAGCCATGAAATATATAGTTTTCAATATAAATATTTTCAAATTGTTCAAGCTTTAAATTAAATTAGGATCTTGAGATCCTGAATTATCCTTTACCATATTGAAATAACACATCGAGTATCTGATTGCTGGAAAATAAATTGCTAATCACTTCAATGACAAGCATTCCAATAACATGTACATATATACATATATAGATATATATATATAAAACTAAAAATTCTGTATTGGAGGAAAAGTAAGTCATCAACTGCAGATTTGAAATACCAATGGCCACTTCAAAATCTATTATTGAAGATTATTGAAGAACTGATTTTTAACACATTAACTTCTTTTTCCTGTTCTTCCTGTTTTTAAACACCCAGCTGGTCATTATATGCTCCTAATCATCAGTTTGAAGAAGTTTATAGTTTACGTTGAATGTTCTGACTGCATCTGACTTTTCACAGAGACTATATAAAAGGTTAGAAAAAAATCTCAAACTCTGAAATATAAAAAAGAGAAATGATAGCTGTCACAGAATAGGAAAAGTTAAATCAAGATGAAGGAAAATGTGTTCACAGTAAAAGAGCTCTCCTGCTTTAAATGAACTAGATGTTGAGAAATAATGAGGAGTGGGAATGAAATTAAGCCAGATATGGGCAGCCAAAAGATGATAACAGAAATATAAAATAGTGCAGCCCTGTCTAACATAAGTGACCAGAAATCATTTCTGTTCCTGGGTGTATCATCAAGTTGCTTTGTAATCATAACCTTTTGCACAGCAGCTTCTCCATGTGGAAAAAAAGTGGTATATCCTTTGAACACTTATTGAGTGCTCTGAGATATATTAACACTACATAAATATGAAATATTAGTATAGCTAACATTACAGTAACATCTGAGGTTTTCAAATCACATCACAAGCATTGGAACGGCTATGCCACCTAGGCCCAATATTGGTTTGCTCGTCAAGCAGTTTACAGTTCAGTCTGAGGAAACTATTCAGATATCAGACTATAGCACTAATTGAATTACCCTGCCAAAATGTAACAAATCTTTATCAAATAAATTATCTAGTAATTAATATATCTTTATATAACAATGCACTGAATAAATTCCCAGATCCCTTCAAAATACAGTAAACACTATTTTAAAAACCTTTAAATAGATATTCCATTCGCTTTAGAGTTCATATGCATATATATTTTTCACATATAAATATTAGATTATTTATATGTTATTTGTACATAGAAATGTGTATATTATACTATAATAACTTTTCTGCTTATGTCTTTGTAAATAGTCCTACCTATGAGGCAGAGACATAAAAGTATTTAGGATAGTTTTCTTTGACAGTGACATCAATTTTATTACTTCAATTTAAATAATTGTAAAAAAAAAAAAACCTCGATGTATTGATTCAAATTTTTCACCTGCCATATTTTTAACAAATAAA